TTGCTCAAAAAAAATTTTTTCATCCAAAGTTTAATTTAAAATAAAAAAAATCACAGTGAACTTTTAATTTGAAAAATTCGTAAGAAAGGAAAGTTTTTTGCTTTTTCTGAAGCAACGGCTGTTTCACCCTTGCCCAAAAACAATACAGCTCTTCTATAGAGCAGGACGGTTCAAATGTAAAAAACTAGAAGTCTCTACAATGTCTCGTTATTGAGATTTCTTGCTGATTAACTTGCTAGTTTGCTTGCTTACAGAAAGCATATTTTATTTCACCATATCCTCACAAAATTCAGAAAACTGATTTTTCAATCTGAACAAAACCAATAGATTCACACTTGAAAACGGTGTGAATATAAAAATTCTTTTAAGAATTTTTAGCATATTGTTCAAGCTTTAAACTTTCAAAATATGCTGTGCGAAGGACAGCAAATCGATGGCGACTTTCTATTACAGCACAGTTCACTTATGACGTCCAGAGGGGTGGGGTCAGCAAGAAAAGAACAATAGAAATTCCAGGAAATCCATTGTTCTTTTTGAAAAATGACCGTTAATTCGAACGTCATAAGTGAACGATTCCTTAGCTGGTTCGTCAAGATATAAACTTTCAAACATAAGGTGGTTCGTAAAGCTTTTTACTTTCAAACTAATACTGAGCTAAGTTTGGTTTTTCCACAAGACTTTTGATGGTACGGTGTGAATATATCCCCATTGGGTTTCTACCCAATGCACTAGTTTTTATGTAAAATGTTGAAATCTTTTTTTGGGATACTATTTCTTCCATTTATCCGCTTCTCTTGAGCCAGATTTATGCTCGAAAGCGTTTTTCCAAACCGTGCAAGATTTTTCATACATTGAAAATTCCTAACTGCACGATCATGCCAGAAAATGGCACTTCATCTGACGAATTGTTTCATTCGACCGAATTTTGCAAGATTTTGTCAGACTTATCGTACGTACTAAGTTGTGAACTTGCATACACTTTTTGGACGATTTTTTGCAAGATTTGGACAATCTTGAAATATTTTTGCCAGACTTAATTTTTAATTCATTTAATTTTTTTCATTTTTTTCTTATAACTTCACAAGCAATTTTTTTTACCCCAACGATTTTTGCTAGATTATACCAGATTTGTCTTGGGATTTGAACCGAGGACCGCTGGATTGTGAAGTTTTTTAAAGTCTTGTAGTTTACCACCGAGCCACCTCTATTTGAAATTATGTATTTATGATATTGCGAAAACACATATTACCCAAACAGACAAAGAGCAAGTTTAAATTTAGTACTGAGCATGCTCGCATGAGCATGCAACATTTTTTATGTCGTATGGTGTGAAATTCTAAGTACACTCAGTGAGTGTGCTCGTGAGATGGTTAAGAGTGTACTCAAGTGAGTATGCTTAAATTTGGTAATTGAGTATGCTCATGAGCATACTCTCGAGCATGCTCAATAAAATGAATGACATGTCAACTAAAGTGATTATTAAGTCCTTAAAAATTATTTTTTATATCGTTAAAGAAACGCTCATGTATTCAATTTTTTGGACTAATTAACCACTTTACATGTACTGTGTAGTAAATTTTTACAAAAATTTCTGAAAAAGTTGTTCAATGTCTGGTAAAATCTTGCAAAAGTCATTTATAAAATGACAGATTTGTTTCGCAAGATTTCGCACGATTAGCTTGCAAAAATCATTCAAAAACTTTGAAATTTTTTAAGCATTTTTACAAAAGTAAATTTAGTCTTGTAGTTTACCACCGAGCCACCTCTATTTGAAATTATGTATTTATGATATTGCGAAAACACATATTACCCAAATAGACAAAGAGCAAGTTTAAATTTAGTACTGAGCATGCTCGCATGAGCATTAAAAGTAAATTTTTTTCTAGCGAATTCTTGCACTCAGTAAATACCAGGTTTTTCTCCAGATAATTAAAGATTTCTTTTTCATAAAATATCTGTCAAAATCGTTCAAATGGGAATAATCTTGCAAAAGTCTGGAAAGTTTGGCGTTTTGTGAGCGTTGCACTATTTCAAAATATGGAATTCTCAATTCACTTGAATTAGGCTAATATACTGGAAAAATAAAAAAGAAAAATTTTTAAAGCATCTTTAATTAACAACATGTAACAACATATTATTGATTAGAATGTTGTTTATGAAAATATAGTAGTAAGTGAAAATGTTAATATGATTTTAATAAAGTGTAAGCTATGTTAATTACATTACTATAAAAATTAAAATTTCAAGTTCGAGAGGAATTATAACTCAATTCTGATTAGGGATTTCAATCATCCGTGGGATTGCCCATATAGTGTGACTGAAGTTAGCCGGCGTGTTGTAACCAAATGATTTGAAACCTTTACTATAATTTCGTAATAATATCGTCGAATTTCGTCAAGCAAACCCCGAATTTCGTCAAGTCTTCCTTGACAAGCTACAGCAGCTTCAACTTTTGGGTAACCATACTTAATATGGTTGAGTTGGAACATTTTTATGAATTATTGTAAGGAATAAATTGCGCTTTATGATCTACGAAAGTTCTAGCTTATTAATCATTCACAGTTAAATAAAATTAATTATTGGATTATGAACGCTCAAGTTTTCGAATTTCACTCATCCAAAGAAATGCCCATATATGGGCGTGTGACTGAATGCTTTTTAAAAATAAAATGATTCCTGCAATAGTTTTGATTTCCAGTTCAGCATATCTGTTAAAAACTAGTGTATCGGGTAGAAAAACAATGCGTATATATTCGCACCGACTATCAAAAGTCTTATGGATATACCAAGATTTGCTCAGCATAAGTTTTAATGTATAAAGCTAGCGAATCAGCTGAGCTTCGCTCAGCATATGTTCAAAAATATAAAAGCAAGATGAGTCACAGCATAAGCGGCATAGACTCTTACCATAGAAAGTCTCCATCAGTTAGCTGTGCTATCGCACAGCATAAGTTTATAAACTAGACTTTTACCATAGAAAGTCTTCATCGATTTTGTCAGCATATGTTTGAAAGTATTATGCTTGACGAGTCAGATGTGCTTTACTCACCATATGTTTGGAGATATAAAGCTTGACGAGTCAACTGAGCTTCGCTCATCATATGTTTGAAAGTTTAAAGCTTAACGAATATGCCAAACATTCTTTTAAAGTTTTTAAAAAAAATTTTCATCCAAAGTTTAATTTTATAAAAATCACAGTAACTTTTGTTCTTAAAAATTCGTAAGAAAGGAAAGTTTTTTGCTTTTTCTGAAGCAACGGCTGTTCCTACCTTGCCCAAAAACAATACAGCTCTTCTATAGAGCAGCACGGTTCAAAAGCAAAAAAACTGGAAGTCTCTACGATATCTTGTTATTGAGATTTCTTGCTGCTTGCATGCTTGTTTGCTTGCTTACAGAAAGAGTATTTTGCGATTTTCTTAGCAATGCAGCAACCAATTTGAAATCTGTTTCTTGCAAATGATGATTGCTTCTAGGACCTTTTATAGCCAGTTTTGCTTCGTTTTCTCACAAAATTCGAGAAACTGATTTTTCAATCTGAACAAAACCAATAGATTCACACATGAAAACGATGTGAATATAAAAATGAAATGAACAAGAATCATACTGTGTCTTGGTAGTACGCGGGCAGGATATGTCCAATCAATTGGATTAATAATTCCCGTTGGATATACATATGATTTGATATATAACATATTATACACAAAGTTTTGAAACTTTTGTCATTCAGGAACGAATATGTTGTGTTAAAACTGCCATATTTCAAAAATGACAAGTCATACCTAATAAATTTAGCAGATTTGTATTCCTTGCAAAATTTTAATGCTTTTAGATATATAACATGATTAGTTTAAAAAAATTTAAAAAAAGTAGAATTGCATAACCTGCCGTCCATAAACTTCTTATGGATGTAACTTTGTATTCAAAGGTCCGATTTTAAAAATTTTTGCGGACATAAATCGTAGATGTGTTTTAATATATAACCTTAATAATTTCATGGTTTTATGAAAAGTCGCCCGCGTACTTCCAATTTTGTGGCTGTACAAAATGGTACATGCTGTATCTCGGGAACTAAGCATGACCAAAAAGTTTTGATTGATGACCTAAAATAACCTATATTAGGACAATATTCAGGCAGAGTTTCAAGTCGATTGGACATATCCTGCCCGCGTACTTCCAGGACACATCATATTGGCTTCTCAAAGGTCAAAGCCATTTTTTTTGGGTCAAGTCAAATTTTGATCAAAGTAACCCATTTAACGATAGAGCCTCGTTGATTTTTGCATTTTTCTGCTTAATGAGTGTGGCTTAAGTGAAATAAAGTAGCTAGGATCATAAAATATGACTGAATGTGTGAATTGAGTTATCAATAGTTGTCTGGATCAGTCTGGATGTTTAGATAGTGAAATATTTCGTCACTTAAATTCAGAATTCCACTTTCTGTAACGGACCAACTTCATCAAAAAATGTGAAATATTTTATTAATTAAAGCATATAAAAGAAAAATATAACGCATATAAGTAGAGTTCAGCGTTTTACACAAGTAAAGATAGCCATTGAAGCGTCTAGAAAGTTGACTATTGAACAAAAAGACATACCCTGTATTTCTTTATAAGCTCCTCCTTGTTACGTTAGCTTAGTAAAGATATTTTGAACTTCAAAAATTTTTAAATTCTTTACTAAGCTCCTACCAAAAATATAGTTTAATATATTCACAAAAATTGAAAATTTTGTGTGAATATGATTAATCTTATTCTTAACTGTAAGCAGCATAACAGTGTAATATGTCATTGGAAGTGAAATTAAAAACAAACTCAAAGTACAACTTCTTTAATTAAGTTAAAAAATTGAAAAATTTCATTGAAGTTTAATTTTTTTTAATAAGCTACTAGTGACTATAAAATTCACTTTTTCATTTAACTAAGCTCCTAGCTTATAACGAAAAAACACATATTGGTAGACACCATATTTATTTATTTTTTTCTCATCTTCATTATCCTTAGCGAACCGAGAAAACGAAGATTTTCATTTGGCAAATCGGAAAAGGATAAAATTAATGCTAAAGAGCGTACTAGTCGATTGATGAAAAGATCGGAAAAAGAAGCAGTTCAATGTAGAGCAAACAGTTTGAAGCGTATTATTCATAATATTATTGAGCATGTTGATGCCAAAACAAAAGGGGAAGGAAATTTTCGAAAAATGTCACTAAGAGCAAATTTACAGCGATTTATACCGACATCTTCTTCCGAGACATCACCATGTACTTCGCCTCTTCCAATGTCATGCAGTAATTTTGCAACATCGAATGCACGATTGACATGCATTTCTCCTCTTCCTGATATCAGACGTGATTCTGTCGATGAAAATTTTTTTAATACGCTTAGTTTGCCTGTCCCACGTCAATTTGCAGATGAAAGCAGACGTAACTCAGGTGTTCCTGAAAAGTAAGTATAATTGTAGTTTTTGATGAAAATTTAATACATTGAAACCACTACTTTAACTTATGATTCGAAATTTATAGGGTCTCGTCACAAACAAATTGTACGTGAGTGACGCTATGTCTTTCTTGATTATCTCTTTATCCTTAAAGATGACAAATCTAAAAGTTACTTTTCAAAAAAGGAAATTTAAATCTCCATCTATTGTTGTACAATTCACTTCTTGAAAGTTTACAGTTACTCGAAAAAATCACTTTAACTAAGCGTCACTCACGTACAATTTTTGGGAATTTTGCTATATCTTCATTATTGTTTATTGATATATCATCAAATGAATTTTTTAGCGCATTTTTGAAAACTTTTTTTCGAAAAGGAAGCTTAATAATGCACTTTGTTCGTTCGTTTGCTCGGCTGGGTAAGCATAAAAACTTTTTAACCAGACAACGTAGAGAGCTCAGGTTTGTTTTATTAGCTCCGTTACCACTGATTTATTGGCCGATCGAACAGTTAAAAGTCTTGAAACAGTGTATTTATACTATAATTAATGAATTTTTGTTTTGTTTTCAGTGTAACCTGCTCAAATTTTATTTTACCTCTATAATTTCAACATTACCTCTATAATTTCAATTTTTTTCTAGCCGTTGTAAAATTTCAAATTTTTAAAAAACCGTAAGATGATAAACTTTTTCAGTATGGAAATTCATTGAAACAAATTATTAATTATACTATAATTAATGTTTTTGTGGTGCAATTTTTAGCGGGAAAATTTCAATTATTTATTAAGCATTAGAAAATTTGAATTCCAAAAAACCGTTAAATGATAAACCCTTTCTGTATAAGTATTCATTATAATTTTTTGTTAATTAAACTAAAATTAATGATCTTCTAATCTTCTAATGATCTGTAAATGAACGCAAAATAATTAGATAAGGGCGATTCTACGAATGATTTTTTCTACAAATTTGTCTCCAAATCTATATTTCTCTTTATCAGTTGCATTACTCCCTATGTTTCATGTATTTAATAGTAGATTTTACCGATATCTTCATATTGTTTTCACCCAAACATATTAAAATTGGTTAATTAAAGAATTATTTACATTTTACGAAAAAATACTCTGTTTCACATGAATTTTTTCACTCAAATTTTCAAAATGTTTTCATTAATATCTTTAAGGTGGTAAAATTTCCAGTAATACTAAGTATACAAAGTTATAGATTAAAGTAAAAGCTTCAAAACGATGTCAAAATCATATTTGTGGAAGCCTTAATTAAGCTGCAATTTGAATTCTACGAAAAATTTCTAAGTGAAACAGAGTAACTTGGAGACAATTCCAAAAAAAAACTACCAAATATTTTATCAGTTCCAATTAAAATTTCGGTCATAAACTGCATCGGAAGGAACTATTGCAAAAATTTCATTTTTCGACAATTTTTTTTCCAATACAAAGTGGAGTACTTGGAAATATCATCACAGTAAACATTTTTGCGTTTTTTTTATCTTAACAATTTTTGCTCTGTCCCCCCTCTGAGTATAATTAATAATTTGTAGATTTTTTTTTGAATTTTAACAATACAACAATCTTTCTTTATTTCAAATTTGGAATTATTGTAGTTTAAGTTACATTTCTTTGAGTCTTATTTTGACACCAGCCTGAATATGGCTTTAATTCAACTATATCTTGATTAATTATTAATTTTGATGATTGAGATTTACATATATCATGAAAATGTGGCATAAAAAGTTTAAAAAAAGTTGCCGAGCGAGAAAAAAAAAAAAAAGCTTTTTTTTAAGCTTATGAACTACGTTAATAAATTATTTTTGAACTGGCTTGTTCGGTGCTGGTGGGCAGCTCATGAAGCCATACTTCACCATGATTTTAAATGCAGTTCCTTGAGGTGCATCTTTTGGGATCTTTCCGGCTTCGTCGACGAAACTGCAGAACTGATTTATTGCTTCTTCAATGTTGGGGATTCTCTTTAGACGTTCTTGAGCTTCTGTGAATTTCTTGAAAAGACTTTCATTCATTACTGCTTCGTTGAGTTTCTCTGCATAACTGATATTATTGATCAGTTGTTGCTGATTAATCTCTTCTTGAAATGTTGCTGATGAGTTACTTGCAGCATTCACTGGATGTGAATGAGCAGAAACTTGATGTCGTTTGCTTAACGATGGAAAATTGTTACTGTCCAAAAGACTTGATATCTGTGGCAGCATTTTGAGTTGTGGTTTGGCTCTTGACTTTTCGATTCTTTTGGAATACGAAATGAACGATGGGCACAGTCTATAACTGGCAGCATGATCGCCATTGCAATTAATGCACTTGGCATTTCCATCACGAGTGGATCGTTGACATTGATTTGGTCCGTGAACTTCCGTGCACTTGACGCATCGGAATTTATATCCACAATTTTGAGATGAATGACCCCAACGTTGGCAGTTGAAGCACTGCGTTGGGCTTTTGTTGCCCTTCTTGATGTTCTCCCACTTGACGATGATGTTGTCGATGTTACGGTGGTTATGATTGAGCACGTTGATGTTCACACTTTCATCTTGAAAATGCACAAGATAAAAGGTGAACTCGGGCTTCTTAACGAGAATTGTCACTTTGACAGCTGAAACCTTGGCTTCTTGAAGTAATCTTAGTACTTCATTCGTTGGTGTTTCGTAAAATCCTTTCAGAACGAATGACTTTGTTTTCTCCGATTTCTCGGAGAAGGTGTGGAATTGAATAGTTTGAGACCGCAGAAGATTTATTATTGAGGCCTTATCCTCAATAGACTTGACAATTACTTGAGTTGTATTTGATGATGAAATTTTATATGCAGGCATAACCTGCAATTTCAATAGTGAGATTAATTTTCTTACATCCTTGAGACTGCATTGCACAAATATTGGCTTGACTGAAGTTGTTGTTGTGACTGGAACCGATGATTCCTCTTTCTGAGGCGATTGCTTCCTCTTCTTGGAATTTTCATTAGATTTAATTGAACTTTCGTCCAAATCAATTTTTGGCGACAAATCTTGCTTTCTTTTGACTTTCCTCATTTTCCTTGAGGAAAACACAACCCTTGGCACTTAATAAGAAGTTTTTCTCAACTAATAACGACTTGGAAACTGTTTAATTGATTTAATGTAAATTTTCCACGTTTTTAAGCGCGGGGCTTGAAACTTTCCTTGAATAATTTGTAGAAATGAATTTCCATACAGAAAGGGTTTATCATTTAACGTTTTTTTGAAATTCAAATTTTCTAACGGTCAATTAATAAATTGAAATTTTCCCGCTATAAGTTGCACTACGAAAACATTAATTATAGTATAATTAAATAATTTGTTCCAATGAATTTCCATACAGAAAAAGTTTATCATTTAACGGTTTTATGAAATTCAAATTTTACAACGGCTAGAAAAATTTGAAATTATAAAGATAATGTTGAATTTTTTAAACGTACACATCACGTGGTTTTGTTTATGAAATAAAAAATTATTAATTATAGTATAAATACACTGTTTCAAGACTTTTAACTGTTCGATCGGCCAATAAATCAATGGTAACGGAGCTAATAAAACAAACCTGAGCTCTCTACAATGTCTGGTTAAAAAGTTTTTCTTCAGACGAACGAACGATCAAAGTGCATTATTAAGCTCCCTTTTTGCATACAAGTATACAAAAATGCGCTAAAAACGACGGGGCCTATAATATTTACTCATGTTCACTAATTTATTTAAAATACATTAAATTTACACCTTTTTATTTGCTATTAGTATTTTGGAAGTAGAAGAAGAGAATTATTCAGAAAGAAGTGAAACATCAAAAACTTCAAACCTATTAACTGTACGTCAAATTGAACATAATTTGAAATTTAAATATGATTTTACCACCATCAATAATGTCGAAGATGAAGGAAAAAATAGCGAAATAACTTATAAATTAAATTTAGAGCAACGAGATGATGACGATCTGCTTGCGTTTTGTCCTATTGAAGTATTTGAAAGAAATTTTTTGCGTAATTTACAAAAGAAAAAAAACGAAAATGAGGAAGAACTACTTCTTAAGGAACAAGAAAAAAACTCAATTAAAATGACAGAACCTTTATGTTCGTCGATGCATTTGCAACCAAAAAAGTTAGAAACAACGAAAGTTTTAAACTCATTACAACTGCCAGTTTTGACGTTTCCGTTAATGGAACGACCTCCAACGGACGAAAGCGTCTATTCAAATGATCACATGACAATCATTGATACAGATGTGCCAGTACGTGTTGCTCTTAAATTATTTTTCGAAATTATAATGTAATTTTTAATACAAACTTTTTTTAAAGGATCAATCATCGTCTGATGAAATAATAGGTGAAACCAGTGATATAATTTCTGCATTAAGTAACGAAGAGTATAGCGTGGCATCAGAAATTTTAGATCAACGAATATCTGATTCCTTTTCACTAAATGTTGGTGAAATAATTCAGGATTTAAATGATGACAGAATAGGACATATTGACTCACCAGAAACTAGTGAGACAACGGATGCTTTGCATGGAGAGAGTTTAATGGATGATATAAGCTCTGTTTTGGGTCATGATTTCTTAGGGGCTTTGCAAGATAATACAATCACAGAAGATACAACGACTTTATGCACAATAGATCCATATATAAATAAAAATGCAAAAGCTAAATTTTTCGAAATAGTAAATGACAAAAAAACTCAATTTGGCTTTGAAAATAGAGTTTTTAATTTGCATGATATTGGACAACTTTCAACTGAAACTGAAAAAATCAAATTACCTAGTTTGGCAAAATTTGAAGAAGGAAATGATATTGCAAGGAAAAGTTTTAAACTCTCACATAGAACAGCTACAAAATGTACTTCCGACCAAAAATTAAGTAATGAAACAAAAATAACAACTGTAGCAGAAAAACCTATTGAATCGGACAAAAGTTCACATTTGAATACAATTAAAATACAAATACAGGTAAATCATATTTTATCGATTTGATTAAATTGAATTTTCCCAAAGGGGTCAGTTGAAAAATAACGGAAATCAACAAAAATTTCATTGGTTTCAAAATTCATGGCCATTTTTCTCACTTTTCATACAAAATTTTTTTCAAAATATATTATTTTTTTGGGTCCAGGTAATTTTGATAATTGTTTTTATATCACAAAAATTAATTCTAGTTTATCGGTGACCACTTTTTGTCTGTCTGTACAGCTATCTCCAGGGTTTCAAAAACATATTATGATTTACAGAATATGCGCATATATGTGACATATTTTATGTGTGACACATGAAATTATGTCACACAATTTACATGTTAACACATTTTTTTCTGCGATGTGTCAAACATATTTCCTGTCAAACATATTTATGTGTCACATATTTTTACTGTTACATAATATGATTTGGATAAAACTTAAATTTTATTAATTTTGGACCTTACGAAACCTTTTCTACTAGTAATAAATGAGCAGAAACACTTGGAAAATGTTATTAATAAGCAGTAAAAACTGTTGTTGTCACTCAATATTTTCAATTTTTTAGAATTATTGATATGCTTGGAGTCAAATTTGACATAAAATTAACTTTTTGACCTTTTTAATCTAATTTGGATTCCAAAAAAAAAAAAACGGGAAAATATTTTATGTTAGAAAAACATAATATGTGACACATAAAATAAGTGACAGGAAACATATGTGGACACATGGGTTTGGGACATTTGCCCAACTGGCTTTTGCCCACTATACATATGCCCACTGACATTTTCCCACTGGTACTTTTGCCCACTGATAATTTTTTCCATTTTTGGGGAAAATTTTCCATTTTTAAATTTCTCCATGCATTTTCCGAGTTTTTTACGGAGTTTTATCTTTTTTCCATGCATTTTTCATGCCTGTGTGAAGTACGCCGGTTGAAGTTCGAATTTCGAGCTGAAACTTGGCTTGTTTATCGACACTTTTGCGACAATTTTCGAAATCTATTTAGTTTTTTTCAGTGTTGCAAATGTAGATGTCTACACTAGATGAAGAATGTAGATTCTTCAATAGTTTTTGTCTGAGACAGAAATTTCTTCATAAAAATCGATTCTATATGAAGATAGAAAATCTAATCTAAACAAAGATTATTTCTACATAAAGATTCTGTCTACATAGAGATTCGATGTAGATGTCTACAATTCTACATTTTTTCCAGGTCTACATCAGAGAAGAATGTAGAATTATAGACATCTACATCGAATCTGTACAAATCTAGAACTACTTATCCTGACTGAAGAGTATCATCGTAATGTCCATCAAACAAATGAAACCCTTTTTTCCAATTATGTGCTCGACAAACGCTAATTAACTTAACTTTCACTAAAAATGATAATTTTCCACTGTGATATTTGTAAATAGACTGAGATGACTGATTCTTAATATTCAAATACCGAGAGGATGTAATGAAAGCGGTTATTCTCTATGTAGAACTATTAGATCAATTTTTTTTTCAAACCTAGAGTAACTGTTACTAATTAGAGCTTTTTTTTTATAATTGTTTTGATGAGAGATTTCTTAAAGACAACTTGTTGCACTGAAACTCTTCTTACTTAAGCTACTTCTTACTTTCTCCGTTGCTCGAAAAAGGTTTTTTATGCCTTCTTAAATAATTTAAGTAATAGGGCAATTCCACGAGTAAAGGGAACTGAGAAAAAGCAAGTTGTAATATTTTTTTACTTGTAGTAATTTGAATTTTTTTTACCGTTACAAATTTTCAAAAGATTTAAACAAATTTTCATTGCCTTGATTATTATTACGATTATTACACAAAATTATGATGTTAACATGAAAAAAAAAACAAATTAAATTCATTATTAACCCCAATTAACCCAACAAAATGTTATTTTTCGAAGAGAAACTATTCTTAGCAATAATATATTCTAAGCAAATTTAACGGAAATTCAAAATTCAAATTTTCTGTATTTTTGTTGGTTTTGGATAAAGCGCTGAAAACTTAACCGATTAACGCAGTATTTTTTAATTTTCTCTGTGAATAAAGCATTTAAGAACAGAAAAAGTGTACAAATAAGTAGAAAAAGTGAATATTTATGGATTAAAAATATACTTGAGCACAAAAAATGGTTATTTGTAGACTTTTTTAAGGATATAAGAAGCGAAATTTTCGTAAATTTAACCGATTAACGATGAAAAAACTGAATTATTTCAGTAAATAGACCTTTAAACGTTTAGCTACCTATTTTAAAATGAATATCTTGAGTTATTACTAATTATAAATTTTTAAAAGAACGGAAAAAGGTGTTATTTTAAGAGTATTTTGATCAAAAAGAATTTTACTTGCATTTTATCACTCATGGAATTGCCCAATATTTAAGGGGGCTTTTTCCTTTTGTAAGAGTGAAAGCAAACATAATAATAAATAATAATAATAATAATAATAATCTTTATGTAGACAGATTCTTTATGTAGAAATAATCAGAGATCGAAGCCGATTTTTTCGGCTTAACTCAATTTTTGATTTTTTTGATACAAAAAAGCCATTTGACATCCATTTCAAGTATTTAAATTGAACTTTACATGCTTTACTATGATTCTGTGTAATATTTTGTCAGCATGTAGCTATAGTGAGCTCAGAATTTCAATTTAGTCGATAATAAGCCGATCGGCTTAAATTTCGGCTTAAAATCGGCTAAATTGAAATTCTGAGCTCATTATAGCTACATGCTGACAAAATATTACACAGAATCATAGTAAAGCATGTAAAGTTCAATTTAAATACTTGAAATGGGTGTCAAATGGCTTTTATCTATCAAAAAAATCAAAAATTGAGTTAAGCCGAAAAAATCGGCTTCGATCTCTGGAAATAATCTTTGTGTAGATTAGATTTTCTATCTTCATGCAGAATCGATCTTTATGAAGAAATTTCTGTCTCAGAATTTATCTGATCCAGACAAATGGCCAGAATGCAACACTGGTTCAAAGGATATTGGTTTGAAAAATTGAGATTGATTTGAAAGTTTCAAACTAAAGTCATGACCATACATGAATTGCAAATTTATTCACTTCAACCATATCGTATAGTTCTACATCTTAAAACGTGGGCGCATTTATACCAAATTTAAGCTTTCCAAATATACACCATTAATGAATGCGCCCACGTTTTAAGATGTAGAACTATACGATATGGTCGAAGTGAACAAATTTGCAATTCATGTATGGTCATGACTTTAGTATAAAACTTTCAAATCAATCTCAATTTTTCAAACCAATATCGTTTGAACCCAATTAAAAAAGTTATTTTCTACTTTTTAGTCCACGGGAAAAAACATGGTTTTTTAAAAAGTTTTTTTTATAAAGTATTTATTTTCTACTTTTTAGTTTTAAAAAATTATTTAAAGTATCTATCGATTCAAACGCTTGAATATTGTATTGTCACCGGAAAAATAAGTGCATGCATAATTTCAGCTCGATATGAGTAGTAGAAGTGGTCGAAAAATCGATTACAAGATTTGACCTCGACAGATAAACAGACAGATAAGAAAGCAAGTTAAGAAAAACGTGGTAATAAAAAACGTGGTAATAAAAATTCTAATATATATATAAAATCGATATTTTTTTTGAAAATAGCCTACTATGATCGAAACCAAAAATGCTTTAAATTGCATTTTAAATCATATCTAGGTATTATGAATGATAAATAAATACTTTATAAAAAAAACTTTTTAAAAAAACACGTTTTTACCCGTGGACTAAAAATTAGAAAATAACTTTTTTATTGGGTTCAAAGCAGTGTTGCAAATGTAAATGTCTACACTAGATGAAGAATGTAGATTCTTCAATAGTTTTCGTCTAGCTAAGAAACTTTCTTCATAAAGATCGATTCTACATGAAGATAGAAAATCTAATCTAAACAAAGATTGTTTCTACATAAAGATTCTGTCTACATAAAGATTCGATGTAGATGTCTACAATTCTACATTTTTTCCAGGTCTACATCAGAGAAGAATGTAGAATTGTAGACATCTACATCGAATCTTTATGTAGACAGAATCTTTATGTAGAAATAATCTTTGTGTAGATTAGATTTTCTATCTTCATACAGAATCGATCTTTATGAAGAAATTTCTGTCTCAGAATGCAACACTGGTTTTTTCGACACCCTTTAGTTGCATACACATTTAATATTTCATCATAACTTTTGCATTATTTGTCCTTTTAAGCTAATATTTGACATGTAAGTTCAGTGGCTGTTCCTAAATGTGGAATCGACGCCATTTTTGATTCCAAGGGTTGGAAATCACTGTAAAAGTTGATTTGACTTTTGATTGAAAGTTTTCGTTACTTTTCAAATATTTTAAGACTTTACTATTCAAATAATTTTTGGGCGTTTTCTTTCAAATAATTTTCGACAGTTTTTTTAAATATTTTTGACCGTTATTATATTCACACCGTTTTCACGTGTTTTTGGTTTTGTTAAGATCTAAATCAGTTTTTCGCATTTTGTGAGAAAACAAAGCAAACTTGGTTAAAAAGGTCCCAAAAGAAAAGTTTCTTCTTGAAATTTTTCATCATTAGCAAAAAACAGATTTAAAATTGGTTGCGGTATTGCTGAAAAATCGCAAAATACTCTTTCTAAGTAAGCAAGTAAACAAGCAAGTTAATCATCAAGAAATCTCAATAAGGGGACATCGAAGAGACTTCTAGTTTTTTACATTTGATCCGTGCTGCTCTATAGAAGAGCTGTATTGTTTTTGGGCAAGGTAGGAACAGCCGTTGCTTCAGAAAAAGCAAAACACTTTCCTTTCTTACGAATTTTTCAAAACAAAAGTTCACTGTGATTTTTATAAAATTCAACTTTGGATGAAATTTTTTTTAAAAAATTACAAAAGTCCTCGTGTTATTGATCGAGGGACTTCAGCGCATTTTTGACGAAGCGATCAGTATTTGATTATAGTATAATTAATAATTTGCTGCAATGAATTTCCATTAAGAAAAAGTTTATCATTTAACGATTTTTTAAAATTTGAAATTTTACAACGGCTAGAAAAAATTTGAAATTATAGAGGCAAAGTTGAAATTATAGAGGTAAAATAAAATTTGAGCAGGTTACACTGAAAAAAAAACAAAAATTCATTAATTATAGCATAAATACACTGTTTCAAGACTTTTAACTGTTCGATCGGACAATAAACAATAGTTTTTCAGCTCTCTACGATGTCTGTTTAAAAAGTTTTTATGCTTACCCAGCCGAGCAAACGAACGAAAGAAAAAAGTGCATTATTAAGCTTCCTTTTCGAAAACAAGTTTTCAAAAATGCGCTAAAAACTTTTAAAGAATGTTCGTCAAGCTTTAAACCTCCAAACATATGCTGAGCAAAGCTCAGCTGACTCGCTAGTTTGATACTTTCAAACTTATGCTGAGCGAAGCTTGGTCTATTATAATGCTTTTGATGGTACGGTGCGAATATATCCGCATTGGGTTTCTACCCGATAAACTAGTTTTACAAATGCTTTAAGTTTTTGGATTTTATTTTGTACTCGAATTCTGTGTGGAAAAAATGCGCTTCGGTCGATCACGTGTGATCACCTCTTTACTAGTTTCAATTTTTCCCCATAGTGAATAGTCAATTTTTAATTCTTTATCACAAAAAAAATATTTTTCAAATTCTTTACTTTTTAATTTAAGGGTTCTGTGACAGACATGTCGGTAGAAACGGAATATGAAATACCTAAGACTCCAACAGAACGAATTGATTATAAAAGTGCAATTCTAACAGATATTTCAGACAATGAAGACAAAGACGAACAATATTATGAAAAGAAAAAATACAAAGGTTCTTCTTCTGACTTTCACATTTCGTCACCCCATATAAAAGCCCTTCGTGGAAGTGAATATTATAGACGACATTCAAGTCACACATCAGGCAATTTAACTGTACCGAGAGAAGTGGATATCAATCGTAGACATTCTAATTATAATCCAAATTTGTTGAACTTAAACTGCTCACCAGCTGCTTCGAGAAGAATTAGTTGCGGGACTTTATTTAAGGTAAGTTTTGTTGATTTCACAACAAATTTCAGAATAAATAGTTAAAAATACTTGGTTAAAAAATATTTGTATAAATCCTATGATATACCATGCGTGTGAATCTATTGGTTTTGTTCAGATTGAAAAATCAGTTTTTTGAATTTTGTGATGATATGGAGCAAGAAAGCTTAAAAAGTTCAGAGATGAAAAGTTTGTGCCTGGAATTTCACATCTTTTGCAAAAAAAAAAACAGATTTCAAATTGGTTGTGACATTGCTGAGAAAATCGCAAAATACGCTTTCTTTAAGCAAACAAGCAAGCAAGTTAATCAGCAAGAAATCTCAATAACGAGACATCGTAGAGACTTCTAGTTTTTTACATTTGATCCGTGCTGCTCTATAGAAGAGCTGTATTGTTTTTGGGCAAGGTAGGAACAGCCGTTGCTTCAGAAAAAGTAAAACACTTTCCTCTCTTAAAAAATTTTTAAAAAACAAAAGTTGACTGTGATTTTTATAAAATTCAACTTTTGATGAAAATTTTTTTTAAAAAACATTTAAAAAATGTTCGTTAAGCTTTAGACCTTCAAACTTATGATGAGCGAAGATCAGCTGATTCGCTAGCTTTATACCTTCAAACTTATGCTAAGCAAATCTTGGTCTATCCATAAGACTTTTGATGGTACGGTGTGAATATATCCGCATTGGGTTTCTACCCGATACACTAGTTTTTATTTAATTTTGAGTAAAAATATAAATTAGTAATATAAACTTTTCGTTATTTTTCTTTTCATGAATTATTGTTTTTTAGAATAATACCAGGAAAAGCTTTAGTAGCGAAAAGGCTAACAAAGATGAGCTGCATAAACAGCAATATGAGTTGAAACAGGGACCAACATCCAAGACTCTTCCAATAATTAATCCTCTTGTTCGACTGCCGTCATGGCCAAATGTTGTTCAATCTGGATCCGGTTTTATATCAAAATGTTTGCTTGCAAATGCTGACACACTATGTTCACTTGCATGCCCATTAATGGATCCTGATGAAACATTGCTTGAAGGCTTTTATGAAAGATGCGTCATGAATAACTACTTTGGAATCGGTATAGACGCAAAGATATCGCTTGATTTTCATATGAAACGCGAGGAACATCCAGAAAAGTGTAGGTCGAGAGCGAAAAACTATATGTGGTATGGTGTCTTGGGATCCAAACAGTGGCTTCAAAAAACTTACAAAAATCTAGAACAACGAGTTCAACTAGAATGTGACGGTCAGAAAATTCCATTACCTTCACTTCAAGGGATAGTCATACTGAATATTCCTAGTTTTATGGGGGGAACTAACTTTTGGGGTCGAAAAGAAGACGAAATTTTTCTCGCACCAAGTTTTGATGACAGAATTTTAGAAGTGGTTGCTGTTTTTGGCTCAATGCAAATGGCAGCTTGTCGATTGATAAATTTACAACATCATCGCATTGCACAATGTCAAAGCGTTCAAATAAATATTCTAGGTATGAAATAAATGTTTCAAAAAAATTTTTATTAAGATAATTTTTTTAATAAATGTAGGTGATGAAGGGGTACCGATTCAAGTTGATGGAGAAGCATGGCTTCAACCTCCCGGAATGATACGAATAATTCATAAAAATCGTGTGCAAATGCTTGCACGTAATCGAAGTTTAGAAGTGTCATTGAAAACTTGGCATGAAAAACAACGCCAACATAGTATTTCAATAACACGTGAGCAAACATCGGTAACATCTGAATACAGTACAGCAATAGGAGACAACTTTTTCACGGAACGAGAAACATACTTACTATTAAATTTCATCGAATGTGTGAGTACTTTAGTAAAGTGGGTAAAGTTCTTAATAATTTCACATCCATCTTTACAACCTGATTTATATACAATCGCCTCTAAAACTGCTGATTCACTCGAGGCAATTCATCCAAACGGTAAATTACTAGATGGACCAAACTTAAGAACAAAATTAACGGAATTAGTAGCGTCCACGCGACAGTTGTATGAAAGCTCATGTGAGTTACTGCGTGAACGAAGTCACAGTTTGATCATGAGAGAAGATTTAGAAACAAAATTAAGTGTTTCGTTAGCAAATATTGAAATGGAATTACGCAAATGTACTATGCAACGAAGTGAAGATGGAACCATGCAAATATATCTTAATGTGCTTGCACCAAACTATGAAGGAAATATAGATTTACGTAAAAAAAGTAAACCTTTTTGGATGCGATTTCGTTATAAGGATCAACCTCATTCTACTTCTCATACAAATAGAAGTAGTACTCGCGAAACTGTTTGTAATTGGGGTGTTAATGAAGTAATCGTTTGGTTAGAAGCATTGCAACTTTCGGAATATATTGATAGTTTCATTAAAAATGATATACGTGGAAAAGAATTATTAACACTTGCTCGAAGAGACTTAAAAGAATTAGGTGTCATTAAAGTTGGGCATGTAAAAAGAATTCTTCAAGCTATTAAAGAATTACAATCAAATTAAAAAAAATTTGCCAATCATTTTTGCAATTTAAGAAAAATTTAAAATTAAATAATATTAAAGTTTTTTGAATGCAAATTAAATGTATTCTGATTTAATGTATTTGAGTGGTTAAATTAAAAGAAAAAAAAACAAATATAATTAATACAATTGCATGAACAACATCTTTAAAAATAATTTTACTTAGAAAGTTTCTTGTCCTCCATAAACAATCTCTTTTGACAAAACATCTTTTCTGTTTGTTTTACATTTTTTGGATATCATATAAGAAAAACTGAGTGGATTGATAATCATAATGTGTAATTAGTGTTTTTGCCCTGGTGGCACAATCATGCAAAATTTAATATTTTTGTATGAATATATTAAGGTAAAAATTGATAATCAGAATTCTATATCAATTTTCTAATATATTACAATTAGTAATAAGGAAATATTCTAAAAAATTATAAGAGTTTTAAAAGTTATGGAAATATTTACATATTTTTTTATATTGTTTCTTTTTTTCAAAACTTTAAAAAAGTTGAAAAAAAAATTTAATTTTGCTAACTATGAACAATTTTGTGCATTATTGAATATTAACATGATTCCAAATCATTTAGAGAATCATTGTAAGATTTTTGTAAGAAGTTTGTTCAAATCCAGAATCTCGAGTAATTCTGGTTTTAAAAGTCAGAGGTAATGATTGTGTATTTTTTTAGTTTTGCACGTAAAATAGCTCTGGCAGCTAGTACTTCATTGAATTTACAAAGTAATATTACCTTTTTACATGTTAACTATACATTTTAGTTTTTTAAATATTCTGTTTTTATTATTTTTAAATATTTTTGAGATTATTAAAAACAAAAGTAAGCCAATTATTACGTATTAAACAAATCGAGTTTTAGCTGGTTATTACAGCATATAAAATAATATATAAACCAAATAAATTCAATTTCCTTTTAAACTTAGAAAGAAAAAAAAAGAATAAAATACAAAAGTCTTCGTGTTATTGAACGAGGGACTTCAGCGCACTTTTATGTCACAGCGATCAGTATTTGATTAGCAAGTTAATGCGTATCAACCAGCAAAATTCATTAACGTAGAAATATTTAAACTTACCACACACCTTATTATATAAATTTTATAAATTAATAGAGTTGATTATGATTAATATTGTAGTAGGTAAAACAATTTTCAAGTAAGTTTAAGCTTTTTAAATGCCCGATACCATTCTGCCGAACAAAGTGCATTATTATTCTCCCTTTTAGAAAACAAGCTTTCAAAAAAGCGCAAAAAATTCAAATTCTAAATAGCATATAAATAAATTAATGCAACGTAGAAGAACGTTTTTTGCAAAAACAATCACAATCAAATCATAATTAATATATATAAATTTGAACTTAAGAAAACAAAATTAGTTTGTAAATTTGAGTTAAGGGCGATTCTACGAATGATTTTTTCTACAAATTTGTCTCCAAATCTATATTTCTCTTTATCAATTGCATTACTCCCCATGTTTCATGTATTTAATAGTAGATTTTACCGATATCTACATAATTTTCTCACCCAAACATATTAAAAATGGTTAATTAAAGAATTATTTACATTCTACGAAAAATTACTCTGTTTCACATGAATTTTTTCGCCCAAATTTCCAAAATGTTTTCATTAATATCTTTAAGGTGGTAAAATTTCCAGTAATACTAAGTATACAAAGTTATAGCTTAAAGTAAAAGCTTCAAAACGATGTCAAAATCATATTTGTGGAAGCCTTAATTAAGCTGCAATTTGGATTGTACGAAAAATTTCATAAGTGAAACAGAGTAATTTGGAGACAATTCCAAAAAAAACTACCAAATATTAAAATTAAAACCATGAATTTCTCAATCCATAGCTAAGTAATTTGAGTGCAGATGTAATCATAATTCACAGTTTAACCAATAGAAAAGAAAATGAGAATTAGATTTTTGAAAAACTATGCACAAGTGAAAATAAAATAATTAAAAAATTTCATGCAATTGACACGGATTATTTTCATGAAACCTTTTCGTAGAATTGCCCTTAAGCGTTTACCCTGTTTTTTTTTTTGTTATAAGCTACTAGTTAAGTACTAACACCTCTCGACTCGTAACAGTTTTCCTTATTATAGAACAAAATTGGAAATAAGGAGAATTTAGTACCCCTAATTTTAGTACATTGGAATTTTAAAAATTGTAGATTTAAGCACTTTTTGTATGTTTTTCTAACTGCTTACACGTTGTTTTTCATAACTTCATTTGAAAGCTCTTTCAACGGAAAAAATCGCTTTTGCGAGGTGTTAGACTTAGTAGAATAATAAAGTGTATTTTTTGGTCACTAGTAGCTTAGTAACGATAAAGCTTAGTAAAGATCAGAAGAGGGGCATAGCAAAAATTAAAATAAATCTGAAAAACACGACTCACGTAAGAAAGCCACGAACTTCCACGCTTGACTTATGTTAGATAACATATGAACGTTAATGGAGAAGAACGTCCACTTGAAAAACGTTCATTTCGAAATCAAATTTGTTTGACTGATTTTTACAAAACATGCGTTTTTTTAAAAAATATTTTCCACATTAAAATCACAAAGTTTTAATATTTTAATTGAATTTGCACAAAATGGTACGAGAAAAACAACAATTGAGTGAATTCAATTAAAATATTAAAACTTTGTGAATTTAATGTGGCAAATATTTTTCTAAAAAAACGCATGTTTTGTAAAAATCGGTCAAACAAATTTGATTTCGAAATGAACGTTTTTCAAGTGGACGTTCTTCTCCATTAACGTTCAGTTATATTATATGTTACCAAATTTTTCATATAAATTGTAAATGGAGATCGATCGTGATGCTTTCAATGTCTGTGAAAGGATACTTTTGATGGGAGTCTTAGCTATAGAAAGGGGAAGTGGACGAGCTGTGCGGCCTTTCAAAAGCTAAGACTACCATCAAAAGTATCCTTTCCCAGACATTGAAAACATTTGTTAATTAATTAATTTTGGTAATATGTTATCTAACGTTAGTCAAGTGTGGAAGTTAAGGCTTTCTGCATAAGTCGTGTTTTTTATAAATTCAAAGTAAAAAATCATTATTTAATAAAAAAAAAATACTTTTTTGAAATAAAAAATATAATTAATCAACGGACCAAAAACCTAACAAAATTTCAAAACATGTAATTTTTGTTAGATTTTAACCAAACTAGTGTATCGGGTAGAAACCTAATGCGGATATATTCACACCTTACCATCAAAAGTCTTATGGTTAGACCAAGATGTGCTCAGCATAAGTTTGAAAGTATAAAGCTTGACGAGTAATAAAGCTTCGCTCAGCATAAGTTTGAAGGTATAAAGCTAGCAAGTCAGCTGAGCTTCGCTCAGCATATGTTTGAAGATATAAAGCAAACGAGTCGGCTGAGCTTCGCTCAGCATATGTTTTGAAGTTATAAAGCTAGCGAGGAGTTTTTTAAGAAATTTTCATCCAAAGTTTAATTTTAAAAAATACAAAATAAACTTTTGATTTAAAAAAATTGTAAGAAAGGAAGGTTTTTTGCTTTTTCTGAAGCATCGGCTGTTCTTTTCTTGCCCAAAAACAATACAGCTCTTCTATAGAGCAGCACGGATCAAATTTAAAAAATTACAGAAGTCCTCGTGTTACTGATCGAGGGACTTAAGCGCATTTTTGTTTTAACGATCAGTATTTGATTATCTATTTATTTTGAGTTCATTTACAGATCTTTAGAAGATTCGACGATCATTGATTTTAGTGCAATTAGCAAATAATTACAATGAATGCTAATATAGAAAAGCTTTATTATTTAACGGTCAATAAATAATTTGAAATTTTCCCGCTAAAAGTTGCACTTCAAAAACAATAACTATAGTATAATAATAATTTGTAGAAATGAATTTCCATATAGAAAAAGTTTATCATTTAACGGTTTTTTTCAGATTCAAATTTTCTAACGGTCAGTAAGTTTTTGATAGCTTTCCGCCAAAAGATACACAAAAAATCATTAATTATAATACATTTAACAATTTAATATCTTTAATTCACCTATATAAATTGTTTATCATTTAACGGTTTTCTGAAGTTATAATTTTGTAACGGTCGTATGCATTTGAAAGTATCTTGCCAAAAGTTACAGTAAAATCATTAATTATAGTATAAATAACAGTCTGTTGCAAAAAAAAATTCTTATAAAAAGGCTTGGTAATTTAACGGTTTTTTGAGATTCAAAATTTTTCAACGGTAGAAATAAATTTGAATTTCTAAACGCTCTCATCACGTGTTTTTTCATTTGAAATATAAAAATCATTAATTATAGAACAAAAAGACTGTTTCAAGACTTTTAAATGCGTTTCCCGAAAATAAAACAATGGACCTGAGCTAATAAAACAAACTAGAACTCTCTACGATGTCTAGTTAAAAAGTTTTTCTCCGCCCGAACGAACAGACATAGTGAGATATTAAGCTACCTTTTCGAAACAAGTTTCAAAAATGCGCTAAAAACCAGAAGTCTCTACGATGTCTCGTTATTGAGATTTCTTGCTGATTAACTTGCTTGCTTGCTTGTTTGCTTACAGAAAGCGTATTTTGCTATTTTCTCAGCAATGCCGCAACCAATTTGAAATCTGTTTTTTGCAGAAAATGTAAAATTTCAGGCACAAACTTTTTATCTTTGGACATGTTAAGCTTTCTTGCTCCATATCCTCACACAATTTAAAAACTGATTTTTCAATCTGAACAAAACCAATAGATTCACACGTGAAAACGGTGTGAATATAAAAAAAAATTATTCCTTGAATAACATTTCTAAAACTTAAAAAAATTATATGTAATTACTAATTAGACCATTGAAAAATTTTACACGGAGAAATCGTTTTTCTGCTGATTTGTATTTGAGGCTATGCAAAATGATTCAGATTTGAATTGAAAGTTACAATAGATTCTATCTTCGATCAGGATCGCAGTGCCTCCAGCTCGTCTCAACGTGTAGCAACACATCGCTTGGCTGGAACA